CTGGTGAAGCTTCAGCAGTTTTGCAAAGATGAACGAGGTAAAATTGCAGTGTTTAGGTGTGCAAGGCTGGCTGAGACCGATCCACACAGGCTCAGTGCTGTAACTGCAGCTAAATGGCCATCTAACTAAACACTGACATGAAAGCGGTGAATACTTATGCAGTTAATGATTTTACTTCTGTATTTTAAATTAATTGATATTACTTTGAAGAAGGCTTTTTCTCACTTTGACAGTTATTTTTGATTCTCATCAAAAGTCAAATTACCGTCATGATTCAGTGTTGAAAAGCAACGAAAGGCGAGAACTTATAAGGAGGGCAAATACTTTTTAAAGGCACTTTAAGAAAGGGATGGTTCAGGGTCACCTGAGTCAGCCCTAATTATAAGCTCTATCAAAAAGTAAAGTTTTAAGCCTAATCTTAAAATTAGAGAGGGCGTCTGCCTCCTGAACCTGAACCGGGAGCCGATTCCACAACGGAGGAGTCTGATAGCTGACGGATCTGCCTCCAATTCGGCTTTTAGAAAGTCTAGGAACCAAAATACAGCCTGAGAGGAAACTGCTCTGTTGGGATAATACGCTGCAATAAGGTGTTGGAGATGTGACGGAGCTGTAAGGGGAAGGATTTCCAATTCGATTCTGGATTTTACAAGGAATTTAATACGGGCATTATAATTAAAGGTTAACACTCATTAAATCACTTGACCCTAAAATAATGATATTTATGTAGAATATTCATCCCTTCTGTTCTTGTAATGTCAGGTCAGAGTTCAGTTTGCGTCCTTCACAGATAACGAAGTCTCCAAAACTAGAGCTCATCACTAACAGTTTAAGTTCCACCTGAAAAAATACAAAGCGTAGTTCGTGCGTCCTCTAACCCTGTTACAATAATCAGTCGAGAAAGACAATACCGGTGGACGACATTCAAAAATCCAAATCTGCTTTTCCTTTGCTAAAATACAGGGGCACAGGCAGTTATACACACCCACTCCAAGGCTGCTGTCATGGCAACGCTGCTGTATCCTGGCAAGGAGTTCAGGATAACACACCAGGAGATGATCAAGGGGATTCGTAAGGGCACCTCAGGCACAAACTATCGGTATGTAATCAAGCAGCGAGGATTAGTGCAGTCCAAAGAGCTTCCAAGCGTTTTTGCTTCTCAGTCGAGGAGAGGGTTTGCAAAGCCGTTGTTAGCAAAGTATCTTGGCACTCAGAGCAGCAAAACACAAACTTAAGTGTGATGGATGACACTTGACATGCTGAACTTGACATGAAATGCTAACCCTGTGAATAGACCGTGTGCGCTTCACTCAAAAGTGTCCGAAACTAATGCTGCTCATCTGCCACGGAGTAGTGAAATGGATAAAAAAACAAAAAAACTCTCCCACCAAGAATACTCGGCGAAGGTCGGGTTCTGGCTCGAGTTCACGCGCCGTCAATCAGACGGTAAAAATTTCCCGCATCGCCTGGTTTTGCAGCCTCCAGTTGTTTCCTGAAAACCAACTGGTTTACTGGCTTCACTAGAATTAGGAAAAGCATTTCCATCGTACGTCAAATCAACTGCGTGGAGAGTAGAATTTCATAATAGTTAGCGGGGATTTACACAGAAAACCTGTTACATAAGCTCCTTCCTGGTCATTTCTGTGCCCATAGCTGTGCCTGGTCTTGTTAGAATTTCCTTCAGTAACTGATGAAAGTCACACAGGTGTCTCCCGTGACGCTGTTCTGTACAACACATGAATTGTTCTGGAACTTCAGCTGTAAAGACCTTTTTTTTATTTGACTTTTTTTGGCTTTAATCATGTGCATAGAATCAGTCACATCTGGGTGAAACTGCGTGCTTTGTCTTTTAAAATGCATCAACTCTTCTATTTAAAAACCCAGCTGACAGTTTGTCATTGATAAAAGAGGCTGAAAGGAATTTTAAAGAGCCCGCATTATGCATTTGGGTTTGATAAGATAAGATAAACTATCGAGCCCTTACTGGTGAAATGCCCCCATTACAGCAGCTTGATTTTTTTTTTTTAAGTAAAAATACGAGTAAAAAAAATGCAAAAGTAGAATTAAGATTAGAATTTTTTTTAAAAAAAAGGCATATACAGAGCCTTACACAATTATTGGCTGGTTAAGATGCATTAAAAGCCTTAAAATAAATTCAGTTTTTATTGCAGAAGCATCCTCTCACACTGAAAATTGTAGAAAAATATAACCTTAAACTCAACTCAAATGAATTGTTGGCCACAGGGGGTTGTACAAAGTATTAACATCAAGGGTGCTGATGATTGTGGCACACATGATTTGATGTAAAAGAATTATTTTTTAATGTGGGATTTTTTTTGAATAAATGCACTTGAATTAAAGGTTGAATTTTCCTCTTTTTTTCCCATTGTGGTCCTAAATTATTTAGAAAAAAAATGAATTTACTAGAAGGTAAGTAACACATCTTAACCAGGGGTGCCGATAATTATGGAGGGCGCTGTACACCTTTTAGAAATATCACATGATGGATAGTTGTACCCATTTCTTCCCTTTCCCTCAGTGTTTTATGTCGCTTTTTTGGATGTAAAAACCAACAAAACCCCAAGTTAATGCTAAATGGAGCCATTCTGTCCTCCACCAGCCTGAAAAGTCTCGTTTGAATTCGAGGCATTTCTTCTGTTGTCATGCGGCGCATTTGCATAACACCTGCCTAGTGACTGGTTTGCTACGCCCTCAAACAACAGGCGGCTTCCTCACATTACTGTAGCCATCTCTGCTAAGCTACGTCTCTCCGCCTTCACTTGTGTGTTAAGGGTACAAAACAACATTAAAGCCGCAAGCGGCGATGGACGGGTCCTCGCCCTACGCTTGTCGGCCTTTGCGCA